CTGATAGAATTCAATCTTCCCAACATCATCCAAATGCTCTTCTCTCTACAAACATTTCAATAAGTAAAGCATTTTAGAATGTTTCAGCAAACTAAAATCGAAGGAGAAACTTACAAGGAGTTTAATTAAAGATAAGAATCAATCAAATTCAAAACAAATCTTTAATGGCTCCCAAACACACAACACAAGTAGTCTCCAAATCAAGCTCCTTTACCTTAAAAAATTCAATCTTTTGCACTTTTCCCCCATCATTAGACTGAAACCCAGGACAAATTAAGAATTTTGGAGGAACCCCAATCGAACAGATGGTGTGCAACTTTAAAATCCCAGTCAACCATGAAATAATCCCAACAAACTAGACTGGAGCAGAAATTAAGAATAAAATTTTGAGAGACTCAGCGTTCCTTTCCCTGGACTGGAGTAGTCAAAATTTGCTAATCCAAATGCATTAAAAATAGCAACAAAATGGGATGTAAAATAGGCAGGGACTTCTTCAAGTATTTGTGCTCTAACAAAATGGGAAAATTACCTAATCTGTTGTAAAATCTCATATAGTCAATAATACAAAACCCATTTGGCCTTAACTTGGTTAACTACTACCATTAAATGGTAGTTCAGGACCCATTGGCCTTAGCCAAACATGTGCCAAACCCGTCATTTCTGAATTCATAAACAGCAGACCCAGAAATTAAAACTGCTCATAGAATGCACTCAGTCAAATAATCATACGGTAGAAAGAACAGAAGGCCTTAGTATACACTGATAAATGACAAATTGACAAAACCAACACTGCATCCAACACTAAAGTTTTCTAAAAGCAAATAATGCCAATGCAACCGTTAGAAATATCAATAAACTGAAGTTTATGTTACTAATTCAATGTGAAATTAGTTAAATTAATACCTAAAAAAATAAAAATCTAATAGCTTCAAGGTATATTGTATCAATGAGCTGCACGCAGCTGCTTTGTTAGCTTCTAAAACATTATACATAATGCGATGATATTAATTAACAACCCTGCTTTGTGAATACAGAATGGAGAAAAGATAATGAAGCTATAAAAATTCTGGCAAACAAAACAGGAAAATGTAGAGAGAAGAAGGAAGCATGTAAACATACAGATCAAGAAAAAGGAAATGAAATGATCTTAAGACATAACATCAAAGCCAAAAGTGAAAGAGATGAAATTACTGATTGGAAGGGCAGGAAAACAGCAGATTGATGATCAAACAAACAAGTTCATACAACACAGAATTCAATTAATAATGATCAAAATTGAGAAATAGACTCACAATTTGAGAATTCCTTCTCCTTAGCAGCTGTGGTTCTCCTAAGCTTCACTGTGTCAATGGCCTACACCAATATAGAATTCAACTCACATTAAGCTTACATTAAATAAGAAAATAAAGCTCCAAACTACAACATGCTGTGGAACTTAGAAAATAAGGGAATGGCCAGCAATATGCTAATAATGAACTTGGAAAACATGAAAAAATCTTTAACAGCAACTTCCAAAACTAAAGCTAAATCACGAAACTAAATCACAAAAGAACAAATATAAAGTTGAAATTGGAAACAAAAAACCACATGCGGAAAGTGAAGAAAGAATATCTAGTGTTTCCAATGACAGAGAACTCCACCAAAATGATAAAGCAAATAGAAGACTAAAAGACATGAATCTAATGAAAAAGTAAACAAAGGAGATCTGAAAGAAATAGATATACTCGAAGCTAAAAAGCGATTATGTTGACAACAGCGTAGCACCCTATTCTCAAGCGATTATGGCTGCGGCTCAACCACACCTCCCACCTCCCTCGATTGTTTCCTGCACAACCAGACGATGAGGTTCGTTACGACCATCTCATTGCCACCGCCCGAATGTTCATCATTTGTTGAAATTGGATTCAATTCTCAAATTTCAGAATCATAAACAGGGGATTTTGAAAAATCTAAGAAGAAGACACAAACCTGGAGTACTTGATGAGATTCGAAGGAGAAGACACAAAGCATAACGGGAAATCAAAATCTGAGAAATCAAAATCAAAATGAATATCAGGTTTCAAGAGAAATCAAAATCAAAATTGAAGAGACGAGGACCTAATGGAGAGATTTGAAGCTTATCTACTGCAATTGGTTTAGGGTTTCTGCTTACCCAATGGAGAGACTCCGGAGATGAAACAAAAATTTTGAAAGCGAAAAGAATGAAAGGGAGATATACTGAAATAGAAGAGAAGGAGAGACTGGAAGGAGACGAGGTAATGAAAGATGTTTTGTTTTCGGAAACTAGCGCAGGGTTTTGGGAAAATAGCCCGGGGACTTGGTTTTGGAGGGATTCTAAGTTCTATATGTCCTGTTTCTTTTTTTTTAATCTACATGCACTTTTCAAACACTGGAAATGAAAAATATTTCCAAATTCATAAATAAAAGCTTAATTTAACAAATTATCTATTAATTTTTATATTTTTTTTAATTTTATCTATTTTTTAAAAATTTTTTCAATCTTGTTTATTATTTTTCAGATTCATTTTAAATTCATCTAGTTTATTATCTTTGATGGAAATCTTCATGTTCTATTAGAGAATAGTTAGTCCTCTAACTATATTTATTTTGATCTTTTAGTCAAATTTATTTTTACTGTAAAAATAGCTTTTATACTTAAAATTATTGTTTCTTGGCTTTGATATTAGATTTTTCTATGGGTTTTTAGAACTTAACTCAAACTACTACTAATTAATGAATTGCTGGTATGTTAACTCCGTAAGTGAGGAATTAGATTTACTAGACTGCTAACAAAGATAGTCTTTACTTGGCCCTTTTAATATTTTTAGATTTTCATTTAAATTTGCAATTGTTTGCTTCAACTTTATGAGATGCTTAGATAGATGATCATCATCTTCAATATTACTTATTTTTTAAAAAAATTTTATTATTTTATTTCTATAATATTCGCATTACTGGTCATAAACTATTTTATTTACAACAATTTCTTGAATAAAATCAAGCATCTTAAATTATAATGGTTTAATATGAAAATGGATCTTTCTACTCAAAATATAAGAGGTCAAGTACTATTTCCTCATCATTTCTCATCTCAAAAATAATCTAATGTTAAAGAATAATAAAGTTGTTTCTATGCCCACCTTGCTTCCGCATGATAAAATAAATGAGTTAATATTTTACTCGAAAATCCTTTGGACCAGCCTTCAGTCAAGCAAATGCTTCCTTCGTCCAACCCTTAATGCCAAACTTAGGTAATGGGTATCTAGACAGGACAGGTGACTTCACTGTTGCCTCAGTTTCTTTAGGATTCTTCTCATTTTATTTTCTGATAGAAATAAAGAAGGATAGAAACACAAGAATTATTCTAAAACATGATTTTATTTTTGAGAAAAGAAAGGGAAAGTTCCCTTTCCTCTTGAAAGGTGTTTACAGATGCATAGTAAAAGGCTTTCAGGTAAGGTATTTGGATGTTTAAATGCATGATACCTATTACAGCTTATAGTAGGCTTTTTATAACACTCCTTAGAATATTTTCTTTCGTCATTGCTGACGATTAAAGTTTATATTATTGTCTGGTGATCCAGACTTGCTTTTAGCTTTTGCTAAAGTAGATTGCATGGAATCTTGCAGACACTCTTCTTTTTCTTCAGTGACATAAGAGATTATGGTTTTTTGCATTGGATTCTTCAGAGGATGATGACATCCTCTTCACTATCTAAGCGGGTAGTTTCTTCTTTACATGGGGCTTTAGCTTTTTCTTTTGCAGATTCTTTTTTTATAGTAGAAATCACAATGGCTGTCATGCTTTAACAGCTTGCATAGTCTATTATGGACTGCTTTGTTGGATGGGACCAGATTTTCAAAGATTTCCTTTCTTTTCTGCTTTATTTTGAACAGGCTGATGCTTGTCATTAATCTTGCACTAGTGGATAATATCGAGATTTCTTTAGAGAAGCCATATGACCATGTCTTCCTCATCTCTATCATTCTATCAAAGATTTGGAGTAAAACCTTGAATCTTAAAGCTCGTCTTTCTTAGATGAACTCGATCCCACAAACAGACTCTTCAAAGCCTTGAAAATTTTGATCTTCATTCGCTTCTACCTTGATTTTCTTGGATTGGATTCCAATTTGAACTATATGATGACAGGGGAAATATTGAGATTTCTCCCATTCTGGTGCTGCAGAATAGATTTTGACAAATACTACCCCTTGAGCTTTGGTGCCAGTTTTGAAGTCTTTCACTCCTTGGCGTATAACTTTTGGAAGTTCTGAAACTTCTTCATTATCCTTTGAGAGATAAATACAGTTTAAAAAACCATAATTGAATAACTCTTTTATTGCTTTTGGATTTGCACCCTACATGAAATTAATTATGGGATAAATCCCTTCATAAATAGGATGGCAATTCTCAGTGGACCTCATTGAATATGCCATTTTACAAACTCTACGATATTCTTGTAGATATTCTTCACTCATTATCATTTTTGACAAGGTGTCATTTATTGTAACTTTCTTTCTTTTCTTTCTTGAGTAATCAGGTTGAAAGTTATGGCTTTCGGCATTTTGACTAGTCGGCTTTTCAGCTTGAGACACCGATATTTCTGAGGGAGACTATTTGACATAATAGTCAAACTTCCCTGAACTTTCTCCAAGTAATCCTACTGAAGGATCACCTTGTTCAAAATTTTCTTTTAGCTCTTGTTGGGAGCCTTTCTTGGTCATCTATCTAGATTCTTTAGAGCTTATTCTAACAATAGTAATTACTCTAAAACTCATTAATTTTTCTATCAGCTTTTTGACCTCTTCAAGGGTATTTTGTCCCTTATTTAATAACTCATGGCCTTTAATAATTTTTTCTTGTCCTTCATCCATAAGGTTATGGCCTTCAAT